AGCGGCACATACCTATATAGCCCATATATGGCAGTGCCCCCCCCCTCCCCCCCCGGGCGCCATATACAGTGTACGATATTTTTCGTTCTGGATATATATGTATGAGGTCTGCATACGAGCCAAGTGGCCCATCGGGCCGGCGCTTATCTCTGGTTTCTGTAGCATAAAACTACCCCGCCCCAAATTGCAGCCACGTGCTTACTAAATGCTCGAACAAATTTGAGATGCTTTTTATAAGAAAACTTAAACCATCTCTAAACGTGCAAACGGACTCGATTCGTGCAAAGGTATTCACTTGAAGAACTTGTGATCCTTTGTTATTATGCTAATTCGTACAGACTGTAAAGTATAGAAATCAAATCTTGGCATTAATTTCTTCACTTTGCCTTGAGAATGGTGTCACGATGACGCCGAAACGTCGGCTTTTAACTTTAATATTCGCTTGTTTATGTTTTAAGAAATCATCATTGATCAAAACCTGGATTTGTTTGGAATTTATCTGGGCTTGCCTTGTCCCAAGTCAGCATTATAAATTTTGTTATTGAAGGACGGAAAATCAGGGAATACTATGGCTTGATAAACCCCAGCGCAGGAGCGGAGAGCAAGGAGGAAGGCCTGAGGACGAAGCAAAAAAGAAAATCAAGGCATACAAATTAACGCATACATGACGTACTACTTTAGAGCTTAGTAACCGTGCAGAATGAGAATAACAAAAATGCCGGTAAAATGTCTTGGTAGCGCCGGTAACTGGTAATTGAACGGTCTTTTTTCCTATAAATAATGTCCACTTGAATACCTCATCTTCGACCTAAGCCTCCTCTGTTCAGTTATGAAGGATAACAAGCCTCACGGTAAGAGTAACGGCCCTTTCCTCCTAATATTGTGCAAGTGAACAACGTTGTGACGTGTCCGTTTATCGAAAAGTTTTATTAAGCTACAAGTAAGGGCAGTGAACTATGTATTGATGGATCTATTGAACTTATCTTTATGCTGCATTTGTGCTTTTCTTTCCTATATTTGAACTAGGGAATATTTAATTCCATCGATGACCGTAGCAGAAAAAATAATTGCATTATTGAGGCTTCCAGGGGGTAGGGGGGTAGGTGGCTAGGGGGTTTCCTGATAGTGAACGGTTTAAATTTTTTTTCCTTCTCCGGGTTGCGATGAAATAAATTATGATCACATGATGATATCCCCTTGCTCCCCAAAACCTGTGTTACACTGTAGGTCCTCATCATACAGACTGTTCTTAGAAGCAGCCGTGATCTTGTTACATGTATACATGTAGTTATTACCCTGGCTTTGCTCTCTATGGTTCACTGTTCCCAAATTTTTGTTAGTACCTCTCCCGTCTATAGAAATACAGTTTTAAGTTGTCATTGTAGAGGGAAGGCACACACTTGTAGGGAGAATTTTGCGCCAATGTTTAAAATTCTAACAGATGGAACATTGCTTCATTTCAGGGGCAGTCAGCTCAATACAGACTTTGATATGAGTGTTAAATACTGAGTATAAGATTTATAAACTGCTACAGTGAGTCATGTCAGCCACAAAGCTCACATTACAGCATCAAAAATACTATTACACATCAGAGGATTTCAAATGGCCCAGACATTGGCATTGTACTGAAGATGGACAACATAAACAGGAACTAAGCAAGGTATACTGATTGTGAAACCCCTCAGCTGGTTTCAGAACTCATTAGGTAAAGTCTGCATACGAGCCAAGTGGCCCATCAGGCCAAAGCGTACCCCGGTTTCTGTAGCATGAAGCAACTAGGAGTATTTCTTCTTCCCCCTTGATGAGGTGCTAGTCCATTGCAGGGTTACCCCAAACATTAAATTTGCCAGTACCCATTTATACACCTGGGTGGAGAGAGTAGAGGCACTGTGAGAGTAAAGTGTCTTGCCCAGGAACACAACACAATGTCCCTGGCCAGGGCTCAAACCCAGTCCGCTCAATCCAAAGTCAAGAGCACTAACCATGAGGCCACCGTGCCTCCACAGTACTAATTACATGCTGTAAATTATGGTTTTAACAGTCTAGCACTTTGTATATTCTGATTCTGTAATCATTATCCTGATTCCCTGAAATAGCAGGTACATGTATGAAATAATGGGAATCCAACATGGCATGGTTGTCTGCAAAAGTTAAATTTTTAAATCATTACAATTCTTCTGTTTTTTAATTGGGATACTGTATATAGTTTGACAAGGAGCTTCAAGAAAGATGGGATGCTGCTGTAGATGCTGGTTGTTTTGCTTACAAATTGCATCAAGTGGAAGGAAGAGTTGTGCCTGGAAAATACCGACTGTTTGTTCAAGTAAATACGACCAAATCTTTCTTTTGAGCTAGAAAATGACAATGTAGTAACTTTAAAACCCTCCATGCCTGTAGATTTGTGTGGAAGCATGGGAAATTGTGTGTGAGCAAGTCATGATTGCTTTTGATTTTACTTCTGCATGATTTAATGACAAAGTGGTGCCAGGTTTTTTTAAGCCACCCATGTAGCATAAAGAAAAATATTAAATGCAACATTATTTTAACAATTACTGTGATGCAGGATTTTAGCTAGGATTTGAAAAGTGGGAGTTCAAATGTGCTACAGGGCTTGCTCAAATGAACAATTTATGAGACAACATATGAATTAATAAAATAAAATGACAAGTGGCCATCCACAGGATGCCTGGATGCCCATCTGCCTAAAAGCCTGCTGTGATAACAAGTCATTCAAATATACAGTGTATGCTTTTGTACAGACTGAAGTAAGGAATTTATCTGATTTAAACAAGCAGATTTCTTTCAAAAGTAACGTGAAAAATTATTAATTGATATTAAATGATAAATATTGTTGAATGTGCAAAATAAATTGTTTCTCCTAGTTAAATGAAATGAGATTCAACAAACGAAGGCAGCCTGAAGCAATCAGCAGCATTTCCCAGCCATTCAATCCAGAAAAATTTAACTTCACCAAAGTACACAGCAGAGAGGTATGGAAAATTCTTGTATTCTAACCTGTTGACAATTTTATCATTTTTATGATATGTTTCATAAGGTCAATTCTTTTGGCTTTGTATATTGTAACACTGACGGTAGTACATGTAAGTGTTAAGTTTGGTACCTAGAATACACTAATATCAAAACATTGAATATGTACATGTTAAACATTGTTTTATCAGCTACTGAGTGTGTGAGTGACGTGAGCTGCATACATGAACTCTGTTCCGCGGAATAAAATCTTAGATGGCTGGGTACAGCCACCAACTCTAGAGTGGGTGGCTTTGCACTAGGCTAAATTTGAGTTCTGTTAGCACTAGTTGCACCTGAGACCTGTTGTACACCAGTTGGCCGGATGCTTGTAGGTGAAACCTTAATGGTGGAGCAATAACCAGTAAGCATAATATTACCTGTTGATTGAACTCCTGTTTGGATTAGATTGCTTTGTAAACATTTTTTTTTAGGTAGATCACTGAGTGTCTCCCAAGAAAATCATGTTTACTTAATACATGTAGTTAATAGATGCTTTCAATGCTGTATTGTCTTCTTTTGTCCACAGGTGTTGTTTGAACTTTGTCCAAAGCACACACCAGCAGCAGCCACTTCAGGAGATGATTGCCATCTTATGATGATAAATGCCAGTCCTATGGAATATGGACATTCTTTGTTGGTTCCAAGTGTCAGTTCATGGCTTCCTCAGGTATTATTCATTATGGAAAATGCAATTGTCATTACATTTTGAGTCACCTTTAGCCGTGTTCTCCACACCCATAACAAACTTGTTACTTTGTGGGTGAATTCTTTAATCAACAATGGGCAATTTATAAGAGTAAATCAAGCATACTCAGCCATAATAGGTGTTACGGGTTATGGCCCTTAATGACAGCCCTGAATTGTGTATTGTGTTTGGGGTAGGTGACTGCCTGGAAGTTTCAAGGTGTGAAAAAGATCTGGAATTGAACAAGACATCATGATTTGCAGACATGAAAGTTGTAACTTAAAAGACAGTATACAAAAAAATATTAAATATCTTTGATCACACTGACCATCTCGATCCTGCTTTATTGAGTCCATTTACAATAGTTGAAACACAGTCTTGGCAAGCCAAGTCAGGATGAGGTCTTTTGAAGTGTGAATCAAATGATGTTTAAAACTTTCATTCAGGTAGATTGATTGATAGTCCATGTTATAGTAAAGAGAAAGCAAGCAAAAAAAAAACAAAGTGGTTATAAAGAAAGCAAAACAAAAGAAGAAAAAAAAAGAAGAAAAAGAAAAAGAAATAAAAACAAAACAAAAAAGAAAAGCAAAAACAGCAACAGAACAACATAATTTATTGTACAACTGACAACAACAAAAAAAGAGTGTAAATTTGGATATAAATTACAGGTGAATCCTACATAAATATGCTTTTCAGTTAAAAATGACATTTTTAGTTTTCTAAATTTTGAATTCATTCAATACATGCAGGTTCTTACTGAGGAAGCATTGTTGCTGGCTCTAGAGACATCTATGCTAAGTAACCACAGGTAACAAATTGAAACTTAGAAGTCATCTTCAGTATTAGCCATTAAATGTACAGTCATGTACCTTATTGTAAGTTTATTTCTTGTACTAAAATAGCCACAATTTGGCTGCAATTTAATGATAGAAGTGAGTCAAGGTTTTTGTGCTTCTTGCAATCATGCCCCTAAGAGTTCCCTCCCCCCCCTCCCCCAACCAAAGATTAAAATAACCAGTGAGAATGTTTCCCAAATTAAAAGGGCCAGTCACATTGTAGTGCACTGCACAAAATGCTGGCATGACATATTAGGGTTCTTGAAGATCTGCAGCAAATAACTTTTTCAAGTCTTATTTGATTCTTTACACTTTTGGGTTAGGATTTGGGGTTAGGGTTAGTCTCAGTAGAATTATAATTATCTTCTTTTGGAACCACACAGCCATCTTGCACCCTTC